AGATCACTAATGTATGATAGTGCACGTTTGCATTTGGAACACAATTGTTGTACAATTGTCCGTACCGACAGAAATTTAATTTCCTCGATTGTTTTCTATATCTGTGCTTTAAATATAATCTAAACTTTATACCGCACAATAAAACAGTCGTTTGGTGCTTCGTACAGAGTGGTCGTTATTTAAGACGAATGCGCTTGGAATTTTTTTCCAAAAGTTAATCCGAAAATTCTTTTTTTTTTACACATGTTTATCTATGTAGTAGTTTAGAATCAATATTGGTGCAATTGCAAATAAAGATTACCAATTAATTTTCTCTTTTGTCATAATTCTATAATTCTTCAAACAACCACTCCGTACTCGGCCAAGGCAGATCAGTGTGATTGCATATCCTACATACTAGAAATTAGCTTAATGTTTAATCGTACTCTCTAAATACAATGTCCTTTTTGACTTGTAAATTCTTTCCGAGCCATCTTCGAAGACTATGATCGTCAAATGGAATCGATGAAGGGGGGAAATTATTTCTAGGAAAACTCGTGTACACACAGTTAAGAGCCGTGCATGTTCCATGTTCAGCCCTAACGCTTTTGGCTGCCCTTTTCAAGCCAAAGATCGCAAACAATAGTTATCACTGTGAATGTGCAAATGTGAAATATGCACACAGACTCGTGTCTTCATACGCATCCATACCTTCTTATTGTCAGACTATCTTACGCATACATCCGTATTTATACTTTCATATTTGTTGTTCTACGCGATATTTGTTCTACGCTAATCTACTCAAATATTGGAAAGCATACAAAAGATCGGGAATATTTTTTCTTGTATCATGAATTTCTCGTGATATAATTCAAAATATCATTTTTCAACCGTGCTTTCCACATGCCAATTGACTTAAATGTAAGAACACTTCACAAGTTTGCATTTATAAGAGAAAGATGTAATATCTTTCTTTAAAAATTGCGAAAGCACAGTCTTGTAAATTATATAAAGAATTTTGGATATAATGATGCCTTCTCAAGAATGACTAGCTCAATTTCTTTTAACATTCTAAATGATATAACGATATCTTTTATAAGGAATTAATGACTGTGTTTAATAAATATAATGGGAGAGCGCAGCAATTTATTTCCATTGTAATAATATATTTTAAAATAAAGTATATGCACTCTATGTATATAAACATAAAAGGTCCATGTAAATAATGCCAATAACAAAATACAAGCAATATATTCGACAAATCAATAGTAATGTCACAAATAGATATATAAACAGATGGGTAGATAGATCGCGACATCATGCGACAAAATTCAAATTTCAACATATATCTAAATAATTCTACATGCTTAGATTAATTTGCATTTGATCTCATTCCATTTCCAAATACGAAATAAAGAATAATTTACAATGCTCAAATCCCATTTAGAATTTCAATTTAAAAACAATATGCTTTAAAGATGAAAGTGAGGAAGTTAAAAAAAAAACAATAAAATGCATGTAACAATTGTTTTCATACCATAACTAAATAATTTACAGATAGTAAAAGAAGGGTAAGAGTGTCATACCCTAAGAAACGCACGAATTTTGCTCAAATTACGGGTCGTCGATTATCCTCTTACTTTCCGAGACGTTTGATTCGAGATCGCGTGCTCAGAGATCGAGCACTAGGATTATACGGTGATTTAACTTTCTTAGCTATACCAGATGTGGAACCTGTGGTCGAGGGAGTTATGGTCGCGCAAGTACTCACGCTGCCACTGTTACCGTTTGCTTGTTTAAGTTTACTGGCGGACAACGAGGAAGACCTGACTCTACTCGATTGCAATGATCCACTGCTCGCGGGCTGCTTCAACTTGTTTGGTAGAGGCAATCGATTTTGCTTCACTACTCCATATTGGTGAACTAATTGTGCAGATATTGTATGTCCAGTGATGTCTACGTTACGCGAACGTAATGTTTTTACAGGTGTTGCCGCCATTGTATCTGATCTAAACGAAATAGAAAAGAATAAAATGTAAATAAAAAAAAAAAAAATATTCATGGAATGCATTTTGAGAAGATGCATCAGATTGTTTTAACAATCCATTTACTTTAATTATTAATATCGATTAATAAATAATATTATTTATTAATCGATTATAATAAAATAAATACTCATAAAATAAATACTCAAGATTTCATTTAAATATATCATAAAAATTATTCATTAATCGAGTAACCAACTCGATTTTATAACATCAAAAGTAAGAAATAACATGCAATTAAAAACTTTACAAATTTTAGTTTTATTGTTTAATTTTTCCTTAAAAATAATATTTTCGTAATTTTGAAACTTATAAAATTCATGGGAAACTAAGACATCTGTTCAATATATTACGTAAAAATATAGAAAAATTCCTAAAAACAGATTATTTTTTAACCATGTTTAAGTGGTCGTGACAGCTAAGCATGGGTGAAGAATGACTCATTATTTCAAGAATTTTTCTGCACTACTATGTAACATATCAAAAAACAAATGTCTCAGTTTCCTATGAATTTTACAAGTTTTAAGATTACGAAAATATTTTTAAGGAAAAATTAAACAATAAAGCTAAAATTTGCAAAGTTTTGATTACATATCATTTCTCGTTTCTAACGTTCAATATGACTGTCGCGAGAAAGTCTGAACTTCTAAAAAGAATATTACATAATTAAACCAACCTTAACCATCGTTGTGGTATCGTCGTATCTGTAGGACCAATTATCGTTACTGTTGTCCTATTTAACGTCCTTCTATTATTACAATTGTTTGTTCGATTATTTCTTCCTTGGTCCCAATCCCTTAGGCCAAAAGTACCTCTTAGATGTTGCAGTCGTGTTGAACCGTTAATGGACGATCTCCTAATGGCTTTAACGGGCGTAGCTTTTTTGCCTAAACTTCTACGTTGGAACGTGTTCGATGACGAAGAGAGTGTCGTCAGGGTAACGCCATTTAGTGATGAATCTGGTCGACCATCCGACGTGGGCCAACTTAATCGGCCACTGGCATTTTCCATCGCTTGATTGGCCGGATCGTTTTCATCCGTGGGATTCTGTCGATGGTCCTCGGAGCGCGTTCTCCTCTTCGCACACGGTTCTTGTTGCACGCAAGCATTCTCAACTCCAGCCGATGAGACTGATGCTTGCGTGATCGTGCTATGCCTACGTTTGCCGCCTACGGCGCAGTTGCTACTCGTTCGTTTTGACGTGCTCTTTATCGTCTCCTCTGCTGTCACGTTTCCCGCGATCGACGATTTAGTTACCCTGTTGTACCGCGACTTCACACTCACATAAGTTTTTGTATCCGGAGCTGGCGTGACGTCGGCAAAAGTGTTCTGATTCTGAGATGAACTCAGACTATGTCGGCGTTTTATCGTTCTGATGTCCGACCCGGCAGGAAATAAAGGGTGCTCCTTATGTCTAGATCCATTCAAAATGCCATTCTTCACTTCGCCGTTGTCGAAACTGTTACTCTTGACAGGAACAATACCACCACTTCGACGTAATCTACTTACGAGGGGGACGGGTTGAAGCGACTCCTCCCCCTTCGCACCGGGAAAGGTAGCTTGTCGGGTCACATTAGACATACCTGTATCGGTTGCGCTTTCTTTAGGCTCGGTGAATTTGTTCAATTTTAAACTCGATTGAATCGTAATCTGCGTATTATCATTTTTCTCGCTCTCATTCTGTTCAGCTACCTGCTTTTTTTCTTTCTCCACATTTTCTGATTTTTCCAAATTGCTCCCGTTCGCTCTTTTACTTTCTGGTTCTCCGGATTCTTCTAGCATCTGACTGGAGGAGACTTCATCGACCTGAATGCTCTCTCCGACATCGGTAGTCTCGATACTCTTATCTAACGCGGTCTCTCGTGGTTCCGAAAAAGCATCAATTTCTGATAAAATTGATTTTTCAAGACATGAATCTGTCGCCGATTCTAACGTTTGATCAACAGTCTCTTCGTTTCCATTCGATGAGTCCGGTTGTTTGGAATCAATATCTAGATCCGTGGAAGCGCTCGGTGGCGATATTGGCATGCACGGTGATGAAATTCTTGTACTGATTGCTTCAACATTTTCAGGCTCTTTTGTTGTAGTTGGTGTGTATGTTCCATGATGTATAACGCGATCCTTTTTCTGATTGAACAGTACCTTAACATAAATAAAAATGTTCCAATTAAAGTGTAAGCTTTCCTAAATTCTTCACTCATTGCTCCAAATTTAATAAAAACTAGATATTTTATTTTAATACTATCAATATTTTACATAAATTATTAACGCATATTATATTAAATTTTGATCTTTTAAAATACAAATATGAGCTCTCTTACTTCGCTGCGACATGGTCCAGATGGATCCAACATTAATGTTACAACACTAGTATTATCTGCTCGTAATCTCGTTGATGACCACCTTTCCAATGCACGATCCACAAGACTTTTCGAGGGATTTATCCACATTTGTAAATCAGTCTGCTATCAAAAAAATGTATATAGTTCGCTACATTTATATATAAATTATCAACAAACTATCATATAAATTAATAACATCTTTTCATTGTAATGATCATATAATTAATAATGTGATACAAGGTAACGTGAAACTTACTCCATTACCAGTCTGCTGAGAAGCTATCAAATGTTTTTCATTGTGCCTGTCTGTGGCTTGAACAATAGCTACCGCAGCTCGCGGCGATAACATATTCCATAGGCCGTCTGTACCGAAAATAAGACAACGGTGTGATTTGACATCAACTGGAATAACCTTCACGTCGGGCTCAGGGGAAACAACAAAAGTGTTTAATTCGGAATTGTAACTCCATAAATCACCTGAAACAAATTTTAATTTATACTTTTTTGTTCATACACAAAACGGCACATATTATTTTTCACATTAACTTGCATGCAATCTAGTAATTTACTAGAACTAAACTTGAAAGATATTCAATATATATTTACCTAGAGATCTGGCTACTGCAAGAAACGGAATTTCGTCCATGTGAGTGGATCTTCGAACTGGCCCTTTGTGTCCGATGCGAGGTCGATTCCATACAACTCTCGGGACACCAGATTTACTAACTACTTTTCCACCAGATTCTTGTATACGCGTCATCTCCGGTCCGCTCTCGGGCTTGTGATCCTTTGTCAATGCTTTCGCCCTCCATTGAGGATCACCTTCCTCCTGATAGCCCAGGATAATAGCGGAATCTCCCACGTGACCTATGTATATCTTGCCCTTCCGTATGAACGCGATACTGGCGGTCGTCCCAGCCGTGGATGGCAGTCCGGACGCGGTTCTTGGCCATTTATCTGCTCAAAAAAAAAACAATACTAGTTCAAGATATATACTCCCGATACGATATCGCCAAAGATACAAAGCATGATCTCGCGATCAAGATCGACGCGACCGTTAAGCTTTACGCGCGCGCATGCGCACCGGCACCGCCGCTAGAAATCTAGATTCGCGGTGAGAAGCGATCACGATTGCGATCGTAGAGAAAACATTCATCCCGCCGTTTTTCAAATTCAAATTTTCAGGTTAACTCGAAGGATTACATAACCTAAACTCTAACCTAATCAGGCCTAGTCGCGACGGCGGCGGTGATGATGGTGGGGGAAATACGCGGGACGATGACAGAAATTCTCGGGGCCGCCGTCGCTGCGGTGGTCCGTACACCGTATTACCGATGTCAAATTCAAAATTCGCGTGATAGCTCGAAGAGATCGAGGGGATCATCGCGCGAGCAAGCGAGCGAGCGAAACAAGCGATCGTCATCGTACCAAGCTCCCGCCACATCGCGTAATGCGTGTTCATGTATCCGTCCCTGATCGCCCGTAGCACATCCTCGTCGCGGTCGCTCCAGAAGTTCTTCTGCTTCACGATGATGTCCATCAGGTGCTCCTTGGCGAAGGTAGCGGCCTCCCCGCCCCCGTGGCCGTCAAAGATCCCGAAGAACGCGTATTCTAGATCCTTGTCGTCCGGTGTCGGCTGGAACGCCACGCAGAACATGTCCTCCATGTATTTGCGACCGCCCTGATTACAGTGGCCGGTCACCCGCAGGTTAACGCCGATACTTAGCGGCATGGTCGACGCCTCGGGGATGATCCGTTCAGTGACAACGACCGCGGCGACGTAGTCAACGTCGTCTTCGTCCTCGTCGCCGAGGTGCGAAGAACTGTCTGTATACGGTGCGCCTACTACGCACTCTCTCGCAATATACACTCACCGAACGGAAGCCTCGCATTTACTGTGGGCAGGTCCGCGCGCGCCGCACGATCCGCGCGAGAGAGAAGGCCGGAGCAGAAAGGAGGGCGGAGTGGAGAAAGGGGAAACAGTGACGTGCGGTGACGAAGAGACGCGGCGGGGAAGGAAGGGGATCAACGGATAGCAGCGAATGGCTCGAGTGGGCTCGCAGGGAGGGGAGTCCCGTTTCCCCCCCCTCTTCCCGCTGCCCTCGACCTCACGCATACACACGCACATGCATTCTCTCTCTCTCTCTCTCTCTGTATCTCGCTCTTGGCGTTCTTTCTCTTTCTCTCTGTCTCTCCGTCTCTCTGCCCTGAGCTCATCCCCCTCCCCTTCGTCCGCGATTTCACCGATACGAGCTTGGCCGACGTTCACCGACAGCTCTCGAGAAACGACGACGAGGAACGGAAGATTTTGGAATGCACACGCGTTCCCGCGTGTGCGCCGAACGCATTTTCGAATATTTGCCGCTTGCGATCGATCCCGCGGCCGTCGCGGTTCGCCGCCGATCGCGGATCCCGGGACGGTTCCTGAACTTCGACCGCGTCGGCGATTCATTCGATGATTTTTCTCTGTCGCTACGATCCGACACGCGGCGTATAATCGATGGGACGCATAAGCGCGGGCGAAAGATAAAACGCTGCTCGCCCGTTCGGCCTGTCCGTCGCTAAAAAGCCTTGAAAGTCGGCCGTCTCGACGAACGACGGACGGAATTGCACGATGCGGACACCGTGGCGTCGCGTTTTAAGTCATGTTTCCCGACGATTGTATACGTATATATATATATATATATATACAATGTTTTCGACTCGCTCGATCCCATCACGTCCAATTATCCGGTTGCCACGTGCTACCCTCCCCCGATAGCGGGCGGGCCTCTAATTGGTCGCGGTTAAAGGCTGCAAGTTAGAAATGCGCTTTACATCGATGATATACAAGAAGGAGAGATAAGAGCGCGTTTCTGGACTTCGCGAAGTTCGCGGCCGTTAGACTTCGTTTACAATGACGTGCATAGAGGTGTAATGTTACGGAGCGGAATTTACTTACGAGTAGCGTTAGGTTGTCTGTACGCGACGGAACAAAGACGTTTCAAGAGGGAGAGACGCTTATCGTGCGACCTGACACAGCCTTTTTATGTACGCCTCGTAAAAAAGTAGATAACGATAAAATTTTCAAAAACGAAGGAAAGACGAAACGCGAAGACGTAGAGGCGTCCGTCCGCCTTATGGTCTCGTAGAAATTCACTCGTGCAATCGATCTAGTCGCAAAGCTGCTAGTTCATTCGTTCCAGAAAGAGAAAAAAGAAGAATTAGACGCGCGCGAGTCGTGTATCGTTCACAATCGATTTATCCGCGATAATTGTTTATCTACCGATTAAGCGCGGCTTCCGATCTTTATTTCGAATCATCGTCGAGGCGCGTCGCCCCTCGAGAGAACGCTCTCACCTATCGATAAGTTCGCTTGTCGCAATTCATTTCTTCCGTCCTTCTCTTTTTCTTTTTATCTCGAGCGTTCGTAGGTTTTGCGCGGCAAAGAGAGAATCGAGACTTTCGAACAGGAACCGCGTAAATTCATATACTTTTTATGTAGACCGACGACAAAACTAGAGATCCGTTTCTCCAGCTCGTACACTTCTCTTACGTTTATTTCCCTTTTCTTTTCCCCATGTGATTTTTTTCCCCTATGTAAAGAAAGATACGTCACAAACGCGCGGCAATCGAGCCGACTTCTCGAGTCGATCGAAGCGCGAAGTTGTGTTTAAGATTAAGAATCGGACACGGGCACATTAGCGCGCCACGTGCTCAAACAGGGAGCTACTAGAAAGACGGACGGACGGACGGACGGACAGATGGACAGCTGGACATTTTACGAAATTCCCAAAGGACAGCTTACTCAAGTAACACACACGTTACCTTGGTCGCGACCAGCCGGCGGCGCATTCCCCTTTCCTCTCCCTGCCGTTCCCCGAGCGCACCACTTCTCCGGCCGCATCCCCACCCCGCTACGGAAACTTTTCCGTGTCCCTTCCCCGTGAGCGGTCGCTCGCTCGCGTTCCCGCCACCATCCCCCTCTCCCCCCCGTCTAGCCGGACGCTCGTTCCTCTTTCCCGCCATACCCCGTCAGCGCGCTGGCCCGTCAAACTCCGTTGCTATATTCATGCCGCGCATCTCCGCTCACGCAGTCGCGCCACGTTGCCGCACTTCCTTTCTCTCGATCGTTCCGTCTCCTTTCCTCTCTCCGTCTCGCTCTCTCGTTCTCCCTCTTTCTTGTTGCGCCGCGAGTGAGCAACCTGATTTCTTGTCCAGCTCGGACGACTGATTGTTTGTCCGCGAAGGATGACGTGCCTATAGAAAAATTGTCCAGAGGCGCGCTCGCCGTGATTTTAAAATCGATCGGAAGCCCCGTCCGTCCCGTCACGTGAAAACCCGCCGAGTCTTCCATTAGATATTTTTTTCCGGCGGACTCCTCGCGTCGAAATTCCGAGTCTCAGGTCTTCTCGACCGGGCTCTCGGATATCCGCCTAGTTTCACGCGGTTTAATCCCACGTCCCTCCCGTTCGCAATGATCTCTTCGTGGTCGTCCGGCGGAGGGAGCGGATTGAGATCTCGGCGAAACGGCGACCCCGTTGGCGCAACGTAAAAAGCTTAAAAGCGGCGAGAGCGTGCCGCGCGCGCGGCTCGGATGAAAAGTGCTGAACGCCGTCGTTTTGCGGCGAGCCGCGCGCACAGGCGGTTATCTACTCGCCGAGCGAGCAAAACACGAGAGGGCACGTGTTTGAACTTGTTCGATCGCCGACGAACGGCGACGAGCGGCGACGTGGCAACGTCGCATCGCGCCGTTCAAAATAGCTCTCACCAGCTGGCGACTTTCGCCCGACCCGCGGATTGAAGTCCGCGGAATGACGGCGACGTTCTCGAGGGAGACGCGGCCGTCGTTCCTGCAGGGCTTTCAGACTTCGATCCGTCGAGGCAGGCCGATGGACTTCCGGAAAATGCGTCCGCACGTTCGTAAAATCGAACGGTGACACGATGAAATGTGTCATCGATTGCATCATCCTCTCGGAAAAGATGGCCGCCGTTGCTCGCACGGCGAGAAACGACTGTTGGTCCGCACTACGTAAATCAAAGCTGCGAGTCACGCGGCGAATTAGGTTGATCGTAGCGTAGGTAGGGGTGGTGAGGATCCGGAAACGAGAATGGGAATGAAACGTCCGTCGAAAGGAAACATTTTGAAGACTACTTCCGCGATGAATTCGCGATTATTCCCAATCGCAAATCGATAATCCGCAGGTCTGTCGTCCAGTTTCCTGTTACGCGTATCGAACGACACTGCCAGCGCCATCTCTATTTTATTGACTAAGATAGAAGGAAAGGGCCACTAATGCGTTATTTATTTTCTATAAGCGTCCACATGTTATATCATAAACTGCGAATTGTATCAGCATCGTGACATCTTATTTGCGCTTCTTCGTATCTTTTTTAACGCTCTTCAAATTCAATTAATCTCTCCACGAGAAGTAAAATATGCGATTGCACGATCTATCCATATTGGATTTGTCCGTTTGTAAATAATAAACGGACAATTTTCAATTGTTTAGTTCAGTCTCTCATTGGTCAAGAGGGTTCGAAGGTTTATGTAAGGGCGCGCGAATCTGGATGTCGCTCGAAAAATCACGAAATTGCGAATATGAATATATCATAAAATTTCGCTGAATTCAATTTTCAACGAATAAGCGAGAAATCTTCTAAAAAATGTATTTCAACTGTACAATTATCTTAATTTTAAAAAATTACAAAAAGTTATATTTCAAAAGATATATTTCAATTGTATCACACTTTAATTAAAAAAATAACCGAGAATTTATTATATAATTTAAAATAGCTATTTTTAATTATCTACAAAATGATGAGATTAAATACATTACACGAATTAAACAGACAAACTTATAAAAAAAATATTGTATTGTGTCTAATAAATTGCAATGCAATTAATAATGAAACATATTTAATTATAATAAATTATTAATATTGTCAAAATAATAACATAATATTTTATAATAAATTAAATGTAATTGTAATGTAAACACTTTAGCATGTCAAAAGTTCGACACACGCATACTTTTCTATTCTTTTGATAAAGTGACAGATACGATAAAAAACGCTGCACGTGTTACGAGTTAATCGTAAAAATTCTTGTTGATCGCACGTCGTTAACATTTCTCATGACGTTGCACGCATTGCAAAGAGCCACGGATGCCTCCGACGTGCGTGCGTTAAGTTCGCGCGGCCTTCGCGATTGCGTTAGCGTCTTTTTATCGATTGTCCATCGGACGGACAATACACGACACACGTGGCATCCGGTACCGGGCATTCCCCAGGCGTCGACTAGACCGTGCAGGCTCGTGCTTGTTGAATCGTGTTGAACCTCGCTGCTTCACGGGTCTGAGACTGAGTCATGAGACTGGTGACTTATATTGGTAGGATTGCTCATTTAGCTGAAATTTCACTTTAACGACGGTCGCTTTTCAAGTGGTGATTGTCCTCGCTACAGAATGGAACAACCATGCCCTTCTACGTGCAACAAACAATGAACTGCTGTTTTTAAATAAGAATCGAGACATCTAGAAATTTCTTATTATTTAACTTATTATCGCATACATATGTCACAGGCATGTCGTAATCAGTTTGACGTCATTTTCTACAAGTTATTAATCTGCATCTTATTTTTTAATACATTTCATTTTATGCCTTGTTATATGTAAAATCTTCTTCTTTTAATTTTTAGAATATATCATATTCAACCTTCTAGAACCTTTAAAAATAAATGACTCAAAAAGTTTTTTTCGAGTTTCTTTGACAGCAAATAATAATTTTATAACGGCACATTTCTCAAGTATATTCTTAAGATATATGTATAAAATAATACTAACAATTAATGTATAAAAAATATCATGTAATAAGTTAAATAAATTATTGGAGTTAGGGAATAAATCATAATTAAATTGTTATATATATATATATAGTTGTATAGTTATAAAAATTTAGTTTAATTTCTTATTAAGAATTTATAAAAATCGCTCCCACCAAAGCAGAGTGGCGCAGTGGAAGCGTGCTGGGCCCATAACCCAGAGGTCCGTGGATCGAAACCACGTTCTGCTACAGGTATAATTTTACTTCCAGGAATACCTTTTTTTATGTATATTATTCGAAAATTATTTATTTAATATAATTTTTATTTTAAATATTATATGTATAATTGATAAATTTTATGTGTATAATGTTAACATTATAAAAATAATAAAAAAAAATAACCGCCCAACGTGGGGCTCGAACCCACGACCCTGAGATTAAGAGTCTCATGCTCTACCGACTGAGCTAGCCGGGCTACTTGTGGAGAGTGTTCTTTAATATAGATATTAAGACAGTTAAATAGTAATAATCAATATTAGTAATTTTTAATAGTGTAATGTTAATATAAATAATTATAAATAAAAATACATTATTAAAGTGAAGAAAATACAACGAAAGTATAATTGCGAATAATTGTTGCGTAAAATAAATTTTTATTGAGACTCGTTGCTCTTAGTAGCAAATAGCTCATTACAATTCTAACAGTAAATATATTATATTATATACAATCCTTTTTTTAATATTAAAATGAACACAAGAAGTACTTTAGCGTCGCACTAATACAGATCTTTATGGCACGTGAATAAGTTTACTGTCGTTGATAAATATGTTTATATCGTACAACGCAATATTCTTTGTGCAGTGTAATATTGTTTCTCAAAGACGATTGCTCATTGATGGTCCCTGCTGGCAGTAAGGGTGATCAATCAAACACTGCTTAACTTAATTGTTAATTAATTCATAGAATAATATATATATTATTTTAATAATATAAATAGAATTATTAATACTTTTTATTTAATAAAATAAGATAATAAATTATATAAATATACCTATTTCCATTAATACTTAAAATTAAAAAAAGAAAAAAGTAAATTAAGTCGAGATTAAAATTAATCTACATTGATAAAAAATTTTTGTTTCAACTTTACTTAAATCGGATGAACAATTTATCAAGAAATATTTGTATCATTTTGTTAAAATAATTAATAGAATTATTACATAATAATACATAGAAAGAAGACCAGACTAGCAATTTAATATGTATTTAGAAATTTTGCCTCAAACAATTCTACTGATTGTATTAAGCTAATCAGCATTTAATCGAAGTTGTCATAAGTCTTTTGTATAAATTTTACCGGTATTTGGGATTGTATTTTCATCGCGATGTATCTGATATAACGATGACGTTTTGTGCTACGTGCGACGAACAGGTACTAACAACCTAAGCACTCTAACAAAATAATTAGAGATCGAAAAGTGTTATTAAAACTCCAAAGGGCTTAAGTTTAAATATATTTGCATTCGCAAAAATAAATATATATGTTCATTAGTTTATAAGCGTTTTTACGATATGAACACATTAAATGACAACATTAACAATACCAATCCTGTCCTCGTCTACTATCACGCAAAAGTAACTTTGCTTCTGGAACCTCATGGTTATAAAAATCAATTAATAATAATTATCAATTACCATTTTACATATTTTACTGATTTGTATATATTTGTTATTTAATATCCAAACGCGTGATTCTTAATCATAATCAATAAAGAATAAACTTCAAAAATTATCTTACTTTTTAAGTATCTTAACTTTGACCTCGCAATTTTTATTCTTGCTTGCCGAACGATTAATGCAACTGTATTGCAAAGAATAATGCAAGAAATGCTATAAACAAACTCTTTCCTTGCTCGATTTTGCTCGCCGTCGAACAGCCTGGGGGACATTCTAGAGGCTCGACGGTCCGATTCTCATATAAAAGGTTCCTTATGATTTTCTTTCCCTCACACGAGTTCTCCACCTTGACGAACTTGATCTTTTGCGTCTCGAGAAATTGCTCCAGATCCATGCGGCAACGCCACTTTAGCGGGTTGCCGGCAAACTCGACAATGTGCAGATTTGGCATATCCTGAAGGTCGCTTGTGAAGATGCACTGCAAATCGTTACCCTCGAGATTCAAATAAACCAGTCTGTGCAGATGACGGAAAGCGCCCGATGCAATGTAGTGGATCGAATTACCGCGCAAATCCAATCGCTCGAGACGCTCTATATTGAACCAGTCCGTTTCGATCGACGTTAACGGATTATCCTGAATGGTGAGCCGCTCCAAAGAGTCCAGACCTCTAAAAGCGCCAGCCGAAATCGTTCTCAGACCGCAGTTCCTAATCACGAGTTCCTGTAACTTTGGAAAACTGTAGAGAGAGTTAGCCGGGAGATGGGGCAAATGACCCTCGTAGAATTCGATGTAAACAGCGTCACGTGGTATGTTTTTCAGCAACAATAGATTGCCACCGATGCAGCGATACCGCGGTTCCGTGGATTCGGGAATTTTGAAGCAGGAACCCTCGATGGTCTCGTTGTGGAAGCCTATCGAAGGTGGCTCCGTCGTGGTGGTCATCGAGGTGATTGCCACCCCCGTTGTGGGAGGTGTCGATGGAAACGCGGTGACGTAACAATCGTCGTTCACGTCGAACAGAGACTCGCGATTATACGGTATTCTACGGGAATCCAGGAATTTGGCCAGCTTGGTTCCGCATAGGCAACTCCACGGATTGCCCGCTACCTTAAGAGAGTACAGATGCTGCAGCTTGCGTTCCATGTACTCCACGCCGAAGCAATTCATGTAATTTTCAGAAACATCAAGGCTGTACAGCCGCGGCACCGTATTGAACAACTCATTGGGGATCCGGTAAATGTGATTGCGCGAGAGGTCCAGGTGTCGCAGATTCGTAAGACCCTCCAGCGACTCGGATGTCACTGTTTTCAGTTGGTTGCTATGCAGCGACAGATATTCCAAATTGTACAGGTCGACGAAGGCGCGGTACTCAATCGTCTCGATACCAGAGTCGCGTAATTCCAGCTTGGATAGCCAGCCGTCGAAGCGAGCGAACGCATGTCTCGGGATTGTCTTCAAGTTCGAGAGGACGATGCGAATGATATGAGCTGTGCGAGGTAAGACATCCAGCTCTTTGATCGAGGTGATGCCGCTGCAGGTGAATACTTCCCGTGACGATTGAGTTCTGTCTCGCACGCAGGTACCTCTATGAACCTGTGGTCTTTGCGTAGGAACTTCAATAACTGGTCTTACCACGGTAATATTCTTCTCCTTTAAAATATCTTCAAAAGAGGTCCAGTATATATGACCAATAATGGGGGTCGTTAGATTAGTCTAAAAAGAAATTAAGATACAGTATTATTCATAACACAATGAACTCTAAAATTATTCTCATACAATATAAATTGTGAAGATAAATTGCAATTGTTGCAAAATTTCTTTTAAAACAGTTTCAAAATCATAAAAACATTTCAGATATATCTTAAAAATGTTTTATCTGATGAAATTAAAATATCTAATAAACATTGCAAAATATTTTATAATTGTGTCACAGCAAAATGTTCGATTCTTGCGCTTGAAATAATATTTTAGAAAGATTATAAATCTTTCAATTATCTTTCTGTAAGATTTCAAACATATTTGACATGTTTCAATTTCATTAGTGAAACATTTCTGAAATATTTCTCAAAAAATGTTTCTGCTGTATCAATTTTTCAAATATTTTTCTTTCTGATTTGAGTAATGCTTTAAAAATTTATAAAAGAATAAAAATGTCTGCAAAAGTCATATAAAATGAAATAAAATTGTCTTTTTATTTCTCATAAATATCAAAGTTCTTTTTACCGAAGAATTAATTCCTGATGATCTTATCAGAAAAAAAATATATAAATACAAAATAAATTTCCATGAAATTCAAATATGATTATTACCTAATCATTCAAAAGTACGATAAGTTAAAAGATTTCTGAGATTAAATTTACATATAAAATAGTTTCATTATTCATCTATAACGTTATAAAATTTTAATAATCCAGTGTAGCAGTAAAAAATAAGCCCGATCAGCCTAAACTATATTAACATCTTAAAACATTGTTTATTACCGTTTCAAAATTATATAAAAACTTATTAGTATCGTCTAAAAAATTTTCTTCAAGGCGCCAACTTACATGCGGGTACTGCCATCCATCGGTCGGTTCGATAATTTCATTCCTCTCGTAACAGCGATCGGTAATCTCGAAACCAATATTGCTGTTCGTCAAGTGTCTCTGTAGATCCCTGCGACAATCGCAGTACCACGGATTACCTACAATGTCGATTCGTTCGAGGTGTTTCAGGTGCGTCAACTCGTCCAACGGCAGGCAACGCAACTGGTTATATCGCAGATCCAGATGGCGCAAGGTGCCGGCGAGCGGGCGCAGCGCGCCAGGCTCGATGCGCTCGATGCCGTTGCGCGCGAGCACCAATTGGCGGAGCGCGACGAGATCGCCGAACCAATGGGCGGCGACCGCGGGCAGCCGGTTGTCGACGAGCGTGAGTCGTTGCAGCTGATGCAGACCGGCGAATGCGCCCGGCTCGATCGCGCCGATCGAACAATCGCGCAGATCCAGGCTGCGCAGGCTGTTGCCGAAACGAAAGAAGGTGTACGCGGGCAAACGGTCGATCCACAGCCCCGAGATCTCGATCCACGTCGTCCTGTCCGGCAGGCGGTCCAGCGACGTCAGCGCGCTCGCCTGGAAGCGGTTGCCGCGACGTTCCTGCGCGAGAGAGCGAACGAGATAAGATATCTGGGATTTGCGATCGCGATTGCGATAGAGAGGTGAGCGCACTCGCTCTCGTCGATCGCTGTTGATCGCGTCGGTCGCATCTCCGCAGTTTGCGGAAGCTTCCTGTCGTTCGATCGTTTGTATCGGCGAATTTTTGCGAATATCGACCGTGACTATCGTCGGGATACGAGCTTCATTTCTTCTCTTACGGATTCCCGAGCGGATTCCCCACGGACACGATTATCATCGACCATCGAACGGAGCTAATCAACGGGATTGGCGATAACAATCGCCGTAACCTTTGTTTTCTACGTGGCTCGCGTATCACGCGCGATTTTTCGTCGATCCCACGGTGAGCCAATCAGGGCAGCAGCCCCGGCGACCACGTGACCCGGCTCGCGCGAGTTTTGCTCGAACCGTTGTCCGGTTCGGTCGTGCCGCCGGTCGGAATAGACTTCGGGTTTTCGTGTTTTCACATCGGCGATTTCGCGGTGTCGGATACGTCTCGACGAGCGACGTTCGTTGATCCTGAGAGAATCGCGTGTCATCCGGTAACCGCCTCTTCACCCTCTTCCTCCCCCGTGGCGGAAGGAAGCGGTCGTCCACGGACAATCGTGTCGCGCGGGTCACGTGACGCGCGCATCCGCCATATGTCGCGCGCGATTTTCACCGAAGCGGCGAAACCGTGTGTGACAACAAACGTTTTCCAACATTCGCGCGTGTGTCCAGTGCGTGTGTCCATCGTTTACATGTCGCGGCCGATTTTCGGCACTCGCGAAGTGAAATCGCGCGTCGCCATTACTCGGAAAGATCCGTCGAAGGGAGACAACGATGGGGTTGTCGCGAGACTCTCGAAGATTTCTCGCGCTTCTGCTCCGAACGGAGTATCGTCCTCCGATAAGGTAAGCTTATTTAGATGTTTATGGATTTGGGGACGTTTGTATATAACATTTTCCGTTTACAAATAACAAAAACAAGAGCGAATAAAAATTAGCTGTCAGCTAATGTACTTGGTTTCAACATTACGAGACCTTTGTGTGAAACTATTATTGTCTTTCTCTCTTGAGGTGAATATTGGATTTTTTATATTATTGTACCAAGCGTGAATTTTTATTTATTTTTATAAAACTTGATACGTAGGCGTCAATAATGCCTTCTCGCTTGAAGATGGTTGCTCTCAAATTAGACGCATTGCATTTAGATATTTCGATATTAAAATTGTTGGAATATGAAATAAAAATAATAAAATATTGATATTTAAATGCAATGTGTCTGACTCAAAAATAATTATCCTAAAACGAGAAAGCATTGTTGACTTTTTTGACTTAAGATTTTCTCAAAGATTCCGAGATGCGATTACAACAAATATATGGGATTTTTGCAATGGCAATTTGTATTAAATTGAACAAATTGGCCGATCAATAAAAGGAAGGAAAATCCAGGTATATAATTCTCACTAAATTTATATAAACAATATAATTTTGATGAAAGCCCAACTTTTTCGCGTTCACCAACGGTTTTCATTGTTTCTAATACAATGTGAATGATAATTTACATCCATTTACACATCTCGCGTTAATGTTAAAATTATGAACCCGACTTTCTTTTATATATATATA